CTAACAAATTTTGAAAAAATGGAAAAAAGCAATACGAATACGAACTCTCTTTTACTGCTTTCTTGTTCAAAAGACTATTTCTAGGGGGGGGGGGGGGGGGGCAAATGCCCCCCCAAACGACGCCCATGGGTGTGGGTGTAAGCGAGCAGGACTGTTCTGCACAAAACTGTGCCAGCAATGTGAAGAGTCGTGCGCCATATCGGCGATAGTTATGATGCAGAAGGCGAAGGCGATCTGGATGAGCCAATTCGAGTCTCATTGCCTGAAGCGGCTGAAGAGACAGAAGGTATTAATTTATATGATATTTAACATAACACGTGATATAAAGGTGTATCAACATATATTTCTCGAGTTGCAGGGGATGAAAGTGGGGGTTTTAGACGTTTTTGTGAAAATACAAAAAACATTGTTTCTCACTGAGATCTAGCGCGGAGAGCGCTTATCATAAAATCAAAGATGACTAGTGCATTTTGTAGGAAATTTTATTTACTTTAATTTTGTATGGAACGCTCATCTTCAAAAACCATATATTTAGTTTTTGAGATATATAAGCAAAAAACTGAAAAAAGTGCTAAAAACATGCATTTTCTTCAGTTTTTTTCTAGTATTAAACTTCTCAATGTAGGTAATATATTTTTTCAGTGGAAGAATAGCCACAATTTAGTATTCAGCCTAGACCTTCCACAGCTACTGACTCTTTTATCTGGACATTCGATCGCCCAAAACCCTTTACCTGGACTACTCAAAACCAAATCTATAGTACCTACTTATCTTCTACCGCTAAAAGCCTCATTCTGTTTTCCAGATCGACCCATTCAAAGGAATGATGTTCCTGTGCACGTATTCCATTCATTTCGTTAGTTTTATTTTCAGTTTAATGTAACTAGGTACCTAATAATTTCCTAATGTTTTCTTCAAACATGCTTGCCATCTAACTTATTTGAAAAATGCTTCTCATAAAAATCTTCATGAGTAAATTAAATATGGCAGATATATTTTTTATGATATACTAGTTGATAGGCCTGTCTCTGCCAGGCAATGTAAATAGAATTGTTTGTCACATTATTAGAAGATCATTTAAAGAATGTGTACGATGTTAAATTCCTAAAAAAAAATATTAATTTTCTTCTTCTTTCTTCGCGGGTTTTTTGAGTCCACTGCTTAATTTTTATCTACTCTGTATCATAACTGAAAAAAATTAGTTGGCAACACTTTCTCTGTGCGAAGACGCGACGTACGTGTATGGTTCGACGCGGGGTCGGAGATAAAACACGCGCAGAGTTCGCTAAAACCCGTTTTTTGCCTTTATTTTTTTTTCTAGATCGAAATTGAAAAATCTCTCCGTTACGTTCTAGCTAGTATCCCAAAGAACAACTATTCCAAATTTGATATTCCTAGCTCAAGTAATAACGTCAGAATGGCATGGAAATAAGACGTATAAACTTTTTTAGCAAATTATATACAGTGAGGACATAAAGTCCGTCGCCCCCCCTCTAGCTTTTGAACTGCTCGGTATATTGTAACGAAATTTGGAATGATGATATGTGAGCAAATTCTCCAGTTTTTTAAAACCAAATGACAGCTTCAGTAGTCAAAATGACAGCTGGGCGCAGCTTTGGAACGTTTTTTTTTAAATAGAAGGCGGTGTTGAGTGATATATCGTTTTGAAGGTCTCTTTATTCTTAATTTAATCCTCGATTCTGAAGACATTAAGCGGTTTTCGAATGATGACGGAAACGCATGGGGTTGTTCTCGTCATAAACACTCCATTAAAAAAAATTAAAACATGTTTTATCGGTTTTTTACTGATTATTGTTTTTTTTTTTTTAAACTAGGTAGCCAATGTCATTACTTTACTATTTATTACTGAAAAAAAACAATAATGAATAAAAAACCGATAAAACATTTTATTTTTTTTTATTTTTTTTTTATAAGTGTTTATGACCAAAACAACCCCATATTTTTTCGTCATCATTTGAAAACCGCTTAACCAAATGTTTTCAGAATCGGGGATTAAATTAGGAATAAGGAGACCTTCAAAACGATATATGACTCGACACCGCGTTCTATTTAAAAAAAAAAGTTTCAAGACTGCGCCCATCTGTCATTCTGACAGCTGAAGCTGTCATTTGTTTTTCAAAAAATGGAGAATTTGCTCACACATCATCGTTCCAAATTTCGTTGCAGTATACCGAACCGACCGAGCGGTTCAAAAGTTAGAGGGGGGCAACGGAATTTATGTCCTCACTGTATGTAGATAATGCACTCACACGTGATATAAAGGTGTATCAACATATATTTCTCGAGTTGCAGGGGATGAAAGTGGGGGTTTTAGACGTTTTTGTGGAAATACAAAAAACATTGTTTCTCACTGAGATCTAGCGCGGAGAGCGCTTATCATAAAATCAAAGATGACTAGTGCATTTTGTAGGAAATTTTATTCACTTTAATTTTGTATGGAACGCTCATCTTCAAAAACCATATATTTAGTTTTTGAGATATATAAGCAAAAAACTGAAAAAAGTGCTAAAAAATTCAGATTTTTTGCGTTTTTGGCTATGAAGCCGACCTCCTACGAGGCAGCAAACCATAAATTCGGATTCAGCACCCTTGAAAACATATAAAACCGTTGAAAAAAAAACTTTCGCAATTTTGTTACGAAAACGGCAGTTTTAGACACGTCGCATTTACTGGACGAAATGTATAAATAACGAACATGATCATAAAACACAATAAAAATAGTACATATAACAAAAGGAAGGACACGCATCTGTAGTGACGTCACAAGGGTATTGACGCTTGTTAATAATAGGCAATCCTATTTGCGCTTATAATCCTTGGTTTGTGTCAACCAATATCTATCTTTCTCCGTCTCTTTACGTTATATCTCTCTTTTTTCTCGAGTAACGAAATTTGCCCGTGACACGTTTTCCAAATCACTCTCCATTGTCGTCCAAATATCAGACAGCTGCCTAACAAGATTCACTTCAAAAATTGTGAAATGATGATTTTATGTTTATACAAGATTTATACTGGCATAGAATCCAGGTAATTGAACTGCATGACGTTTTCGAAGTTGTAATCATTCATTGTCACATTTTGTCCGACAGTGAGCAGATAGACTCGCAAAGGCATACGCCACAATTACGAGAATAGCTAATCTGGCCGCCAATCAGAAAAAAATTATTCGGATGAGAACCGAAAAAATTTGATTTAATTTGGGTAACGGCCGAATTAAGGACCGATTGAGAAGTGTTTTCTCTCTGCCGGCCCATCCGTGGACGCCTTTCGCTGTATCACAACACAAACAATATATCTCCTCCAATTTTGAGACTGTTTTATAACAGCTCTTCGCTGCAGTATTTGGTGTGTCGACCAGAAAAAAGATGGAGACTCCGTCTTCATTTTATTTATCTCAAACCTAGTTCCGGGATGGAACCAAAAATGGGTTGTGTTTTCTCTCTGCGGGACCTAACCGTGCTGATGAGCTGTGATACAGCAAAACGTGTCCACGGATGGTTCGGCAGAGAGAAAACACTTTTCAATCGGTCCTTAATTGGGCCGTTACCCAATTAAAATTAAATTAATCTGTCTGAAATAGCATGGAGTCACTGGAATTTTTTTTCCTGTGCGTTTCTGTCCGGTCACTTTTAAAAAGTTAGCGGACAGCGAACTCCAAGGAAAAATGACAGTTGTCATTATGATTCATGAACGAACAAACTGATGGAACTACCAACAGCAACATAGCGACAGGGAACCAGCCCCTCGTGGCATGCAGATGAAATTCAACACCTTGGAACGAGCCTTGGAATATATATAAATCTAGTTCTACTTCCCACGCGCGAGATTTTCTCTTGTGGGGTATATTTGGTATTTATTGTTACTAGCCAAGCCTGTATATTGAATGTGAAAAATTACAATAAATGCTATATAATAAAAGTTACAAAACATTAAGATTAGGTACTTAGTAACGCGAATGATAGCCACATACAGACCGGACCAACCTGATAGAGACATGGGGAGTAATAAGACGAATTAGCTTGTACCCGGTGTCAGCGAGCCGAGGCGCTGCTGTCGAAGCCGAGTATAGCACAGCTACCGAAGCTGACTATAGCCGAGCTGTTGAAGATGCACGAATTTCAATAAGATGCAGCTTGACATTCAGTGACATGATGGTTTATAGGGGTATTATAGTCAACTGGTCCCATTGAAGCCTATGTGACTAGTAGCCATGTTAATACGCATCTTAGGGTTACCAGCTACAAAACAGTATTAAGTATAGCAATGTGGCTGATATTTTGCGTTCAATAGTTTTTGAGATTATCCGCCGTTGCGCGACTTTTGTCCAAGGGTCGATAATTCCCAAACAAACGCATGGTATGCATGTTGCACAAAATGTATGTGGATTTTAACTCAAGAAATCTGAAACCGCCGAAAATAAAGGTTAAGATATCCAAGAATTTTGATACACTCGGCCGTTGCGAAACTTTTTATTAACCTTGAACAGGGTGTCACGGTAGGTTTGTTACACAGTTCTAGGGATGGCAGATCTCGTATTAATTGAGCTTTTTTTAATAAACATGTATCCGGAAGTGCTTCGCCTTCCAGATACAGGGGGTTAAACTTTGTAAAAATAAGGCAATTGGCTTTTTTTACAAAGTCCACCCTGTATCTGGAAAGCGAAGCATTTCCGGACATATGTTTATCAAAAAAAAAAAACTTAATTCTTACAAGATCTACCATCTAGAAATTTGTAACAAACCTTTCGTGACACCCTGTATATATACTTATCAAATATAAACTGACAGATGGAGATTTGCCAAACCGAAATTGCCTTAACCATGTCATCGTTTTTCTTCGAAAATCTGCTTTCATAAGAAACTTTTGGTGGCTCTTTATTTTCGTCCGCGAGATTTTTCGAAGAAAATTTTGTTTTCGCTTAGGCAGCTCATATGTTTCTCGCAGTGTGTGCCACTACTGTGAATCAGTTTATTTAGTTTCCGCGGCAAGTCTCGTCCCGAACAAAACTGTTTTGATGTGTTCTAAAAATAAAAAGTGTCTTATAAAATATTTTTCAAGAAATCGGAGTGTCATCTAACTTGATATGGCATCTGATAGTTTTCCCAATACGCCCCTTCCCAGCGAAGGAAGTCGTAGGGTTGCGTTTGCTAATCAGAAAGGTAATATCTCAGCCAGATCTTTTGAGACCTCTTCTGTAAGATCCAGCGCGCCTTCGCAAAAATATGGAAGAAGAGCTTCAGTATTTATTTTTGAGCACCTGTCAGATATGAAAGATGCTGGATTGGGAATAGGAGAAAAATGCAACTATTGGATGTATGGTAAAATCAGACTGCTGAGCAATAAGTGGTTTACTCATTGTTTTTTAATTATTGTGATGATTCTGTACACTGTCGGCGGTGCCGTGATATTTTTAACTGTCGAAGGTAAATATTTACATTTTTTGAAATCCACAAATTGCCAGAAATAATCTGCTATTAACATAACCATAAAAACCGAGTTAATCCAAATAAATCGTAAAAACAAAGATCAAAACGCGGCGCCTTGATTATTTTTAGCTCTATGTTATGCTCAATGACGTTCGCGTGCCATTGACTGCGACGTAATTTTGCGTCACCTACTTAAATTTGATAACATTGTAACAAACTGAAAGTATAAAATAAGTGGGTTTGGTTGGTTTAATTTTAGATGAGAATTTGAATTATTTCGAATTGTGGATGGATTTTTTCAGTGATTTTTGCCATTAATATATTAGCCTAATCATCCACAGAATCATCTGATTTTAAAAAAATTGAGAATCTGAACTATGCCGTTATAATGTGTTCACTTAATATCAATTACCATACAAAATAAAACCCGGGTTATAGTCGTTGTAGACGGCATCTCCTGTGAAAATTAGAGGCAAACGAAATTTGATGGAAAAAATTCTTCAAGCGGTCTCTAATTATTGCTTTATTGTCGTCAAACTTTGACACAAAAGTGATCATAAGCATTATTATGTCCGTGAAGTTCGTGCGCTGCCTTCTCCCTAGATGGCAGTAAAGTCTATGGCCGAAATTACAGTGACTTTGACTTTATAAACCCTGTGGCACAACTGCTGTTGCATTTTTGATTGGTTCTATAAATCCTATATATTCATATGGGAAACGCCGCCATTTTGTGCCCTACCACTTTCTACTTTTAAATATGAATATATAGGATTTAAATGGACATCCATCATAGGAAATTGGAAACAAAAAATAACGTATTTGATGTACCTAATAATAGTAATTAAATATGTTGTTTTCAATTTTTTTTATGATGGATGTTCATTTAAATCCTATATAGGTATTCATATGTAAAAGTAACAAGAGGTTGGGCACAAAATGGCGGCGGGATCTTTATTGTCACCACTGTATGTAAAGGTTTATTCAGTCACTGCAGCCGAAAGCGTAATTTGTCTCCTAGACAACACGACGACGTTGCCTTGGTGCGCTAGTTTGAAACATTTCAATTTGCATCGTTCCCGTCGGTAACTATAAGTTATTAGCTCAGTTCTAAGGTAATACGTCGTGTACCAAATGGTGAACGTCACATGAATAGATTTTAATGCCAATCTGGATCTTGTTGAGCTAATAAGTTTGTAGGTGTCCAGAAGCCGAGCTTATGTAGGACCAGATAAAATACTATAGTACTACTCCTATCGTGTTATTGGCACGTCAGCGGTTCACAGAAGATATAGGACTTGAGTCACTCCTCAATTCATTAGATTTAGGACAGTGTATCCTTCTTGCCTGTTTCACCTATCTGACAAACAAGGTTCAAGAAGTTGAAAGTGAGGCTGTGGCCAAGATTTCTTTATCCAGTTTCGAATCTACTTATCGTAAACCGAGAAAGGCGCTGTTTTTCGGTATTAAGGTCTTTGTTTATGGAATGAACAAATTGTTAATTTGATCAACCATTACTACTTAATACTGTTACGCAAGCGGGTTCACAGATAATCGCGACTTCAAGACAATCAATAACACAAAAATAGCGACGAAACTAGCATCATTCAGCTACAATCACTGTCTTACTATCGACTCGTGTTCTACTCCTATTATTCGATTTTTAACTTGGTGGCGGTCAACTAACTGATCCTTTACATACTTGACACTGGCGTCTAATTTATCATTCACTTTTTTCCTAGGTGGCCGACTCCGTTGTATAGCGCGCCGTTACTTTTAGGGTTATCTAGATAATTCGCTTCCGATGGTTTCGAATTTGTTGGAAAATTTCTCTAAGTAGATGTTTATAAAAATATGTACCCAATATCAAATTGGACTCCCCAAAGAATAACACCCATTATAATATTAATTATATTATAATTGGTGTTATTCTTTGGCTTGACAATATCTTAAAAATCATGGAATATAAATATTACTAATATTGAGTGCAAAAATGTTTAAACAACGCTAGACTTGTAATCAGGCACGTGTTAATGGATCAAGCCCCTGGGGCCCGATTCTCGTCCCAGGGAGTAGAGCTCCCCGACAGAACAAATTTTTCGTCTTTATCATTCTCGTTTACTTTTCGATTACGTTGACTGTTGACAAGGACAAAACATTCATTCATGCCCTACTTTTCCGAGGTATTTTAACTAAGATCGTATAATATCTATACTTATTTTGTCCGCTTCTAAATTCTTATTTGAAAAAGTATAGTTAGTACAGAGTGTTATTACAGCTTCAATTTATAAGAGCTTGCGCTGCTAACAAATAAAAATTACACTTTTTAAAAATGAATATTCGTGACAACTTTTTCTGAATCATCTATCTATTCTGTGTGTCAGATTTCACAAAACAATTAAAGATGAAATACAGGGAGTTATTTTATCTGCTACATTCTCCCACCTCCAACCAAAGTAATCCATTTACAGGGAGTATGCAAGTGAAGAAGCAGCTGTTTTAATTTGTACGATTCTAATTTGCCCGTCTTTTCCAGGAAATATTTTTGTCACTCTAGCTAATTTAAATTTATTTCTTGGTTCTGTGCATGGTAAAGCTACAATATCATCCACTTTTGGAGGTGTACACTTAGCATGCCATTTTTGTCTTTTTGTCAAAGTCGGTAAATATTGCTTCGTCCATTTTTTCCAAAAATTGTCTGCCATAATTTGTGCAATTTCCCATTGTCTTCTCCCAAACATATCTTCTGGTAGTTCTGGTTTAAAAATACTTGGTATGTTGGCTGTACTAGCTGTACCAATTGAAAAATGCATAGGAGTTGAAGCACTCAAGTCTTCTTCATGAGATGAAACATAGCTTATGGGTCGAGAATTTACTATACTTTCTGCTTCCAAACAAAATGTGTTAAAAGAGTTCGTCAGATTGTCTTTTTTCATTTCATATACAGTATAGGACTTGTTTTACCGACCTCACCATTCTTTCCCAAACTCCTCCCATACTAGGAGCGCCTGGCGGATTAAAATGCCATGGGGGGAATTTGCAGGAAGTGATCCTTGCAGCTCCTCCGCAAGTGCTGCCGGAGGCAAAGCGCCGCAAGCACAAAATTTTCGGGTCTTTTTACGGTATTTTTGGGACTTCTTAGGGAGGCCGCACATCAAAGAAACATGAAACATGAAAAGTGAAACGTGAAACATGAAACATAGAACGTGAAACACGTTTCATGAAAATAGAATAAGGACAAACAAATAGAAGTTCGCCCACTAAGGGAGGTCGCACATCAAAGAAACATGAAACGTGAAACATGAAACATAAAGCGTGAAACTCGTTTCATGAAAATAGAACAAGAACAAACAAATACAAGTCCGCCCACCAATGAAACGAATTTGTTTCATGCGCAAGAAACATTTTTATTACATGAAACCTGTTTCATGAAATAGATCGTGTTCTATTTTTCGGTTTCAGTTTCACGGTTTTTGGGCATAAATACATTCATAAAAAAATTAATTACGACCAAGAATTCAATATTGTGCTAGTTTCAGTGGTAGAGCAAGATCGAGAATTGTATAGGTATAACATGGAGAAGTACTCGAATAGACAATCACCAAAAAAGCCTGCCAAAATGTTGCCTAATAGGTAAAAAGTACATTATTGTATGAATGTACCCAGTATCGTCGATTCCTTTATTTTTTTGCCTTTTTGATGATAATAGAAAAGTTGCCACAACAGCAGTTGTTGTTGCTCGTCAACACTTTCCTTTGTGTGCTACCCTCTATACTCCACTACTACACTATCAAAAGACTTTGCAAACATTATTTTTGTTTCTTCAATTAGTATGCAATTAGTTGCATGTTTGATGTTTCACGTTTTATGTTTCTTTGATGTGCGGCCTGCCTAATGAAACGAGTGTGATTCCTGCGCGTGAAACATTTTTATTGCTTGAAACGTGTTTCATGAGATAGATCGCGTTCTATTTTTCTGTTTCAGTTTCACGGTTTTTGTTCATAAATTCATTCATAGAAAAATAAATAACGACAAAGAAATTAAGATTGTGTTCGTTTCGGTAGTGGAGCACGAGCAATATGAAGAATTGTATAATTATAACATGGAGGAGTACTCGAATAGACAATCACAAGAAAAAGCCTGGCAAAACGTTGCCTAACAGGTAAAAAGTACATTATTGTATGGATGTACCCAGTAACGTCGTTCCCTTTTTTTTTTGGCTTTTTGACTATAATAAAAGGGTTGCCACAGTAGCAGTTGTTGTTGCTCATCACTTCCCATTGTATTGTATGCTACCCTCTAGCCTCCACTACACTACCAAAAGACTTTGCAATTGCAAACATTATTCTTGTTTCTTTAATTAGTATGCAAGAAAGAAACAATTTCGCTTTTCGTAGTTTATGTTTCATGTTTTATGTTTCACGTTTCATGTTTCTTTGATGTGCGACCTGCCTTATGGTGGGGGCAAGCTGGGATGCGGCAATTTAACAAATTTTCATAAGAATTTATAGTAGAACGTTATTATATTATAATATATCTATGTATTTGATTATTTACCTAGCCTTTGAATTGAGTTTTTTGTTTATTTTAATTTTGAATTAATAATAAAATTAGAAGGCCTTTGGGGGAAGGGGTCACATGCCCCTCTTTGTCCCCCTCCCTGGCTACGCCAGTGGACAGCACCGATTCGATTCGCCTTAACCGGATACAAGCACAAGCCTCTTATATCCCTATGTGTCTAGTAGGTTGGTCCGGTCTGTAAATAAATTTTCCATGATAAACTATGTAAAAAAAGCTAGTGTATTGGAAAATCATGACATATTCAGAGGATGTAAACATACCTGTCATGAAAACAAACGGAAAGGAAATATTAATTCAATCCAACGACTTACTGAAAATACAGGTTTAAATACTACACCAGAAAATATTCAAACTGTTTGTTAAGGTATAGCAAAAACAACAAAAGCATAAAACACTTAAGTTTGATATAAAAATAAATA